GGATAGAGCTCGATCTCACGTAGGCGCAAACCATTCGTGAAACGGATTTATAACGAAAGAGTTATTGACGTTTAAAGTTAAGGACATTTTTGTAATTTTGGCTATAATTAGAAGGCTCCAGATTTTTGAAGCCATTATTGTAATGCCACGTGTGTGGCTGAGATGAAAAGGAAAGGATAGAAAAGAAGGGAGATGGACGAATCAGGGGGGAGGAGAAAAAAAGGAACGAATTGGGGAAAACAATGAGGAGGGAAACGAGAGAAAGAGAGAAGCATGGGGAAACCGGGTTTTTCCCCAACCCGTGACCCGACCCGGCCACCTTTTGAATTTCTAGCCACCTTTGACGCCGCAAAAGGTGCCAAAATGACCCTCATGTCATTTCCATTCGATCTCCCCTCTAATTTCTCTCTAAAACCGTTAAATTGGGGTTCGATTTTATGTAAAACCCTCAAAAGAAGGGTGCGGCGGTTTGGGTGGTGTTTCACCAATTATGAAGCTAACTCCTCAATTACTACTACCAAAACACTCTCCTCAAATCCAAGAACAAAGCCCATGCATTGGTTGGGGCGTCGGAGTTGGTTTGGAGTCGAATCAAGAACACCCAAAAACAAGGGTTTCCGGCAATTCGTGGAAAATTTGAGGTGTTTTCTGGCCAAATTGGACTTGGCCGCAAGTATGAAACTTGCTCTACTCATTGAGATCTGCAACCCTGTTAAATTTGAGAATTTTTAAAAATAGTTGATTTTTCCGGCAAGTCGGGACGGCCGACCGCCACTTGTGGCGGCGCGTGGCTAGTGAACCAACATTGCCTTTTTCATTCAAATTTTTGTATTCTGAACCCATAATTGATAACTGTCTAATGTGAATTGATTGTGAAAAGTTAATGTTGATTGTGGTGGTTACTAGAATACCTTTGGAAATTCATAAAAGAACGAATTGTTAACTACGAGTGGCTTGATCCCTATTAGGGTACGTAGGCAATCTAACGAGACGTTAGATGCAGCCATATGATAAGTAAGGTTAAATAACTGTGAATTAACCTTTGGTTAAGAAGTGTTTTTAAAGTGAAGAGAATTTAGAGAAAAGAAAAAAAAAATCTAAGCATATGCCTTATAAATTAAAATTATGGTTATGTTTAGTTGAAGGAATTAAGGAATTTGAATAAAGTTTTGTAATTTGGGATTTGATAATTAAAGTAGAGTTTAGTTTGGGCCTATCGATAATAATAATAATATTATTTCTTGAATTAAAGGATTAATTTGGGGCGGGGCGTTACAGTTTTGAAGCAAGACTTAACATCCTCCTTGTAGTTGAGGTTTTGCCCAACAGTGCCCAAATTGTTACAAGAAACTTTTTGTAAATATCCCCCACATTGTATCAATTGTTTGAAAGCGACCAACAGAACCATCTTCGGCGATCTACACCCAAGCTAAGCATAAGGCGACATATTCACCAGGAAGCCAATTGTCATTTCTAGCACTCTCTTTGTCTGCCATATAAGCTAAATTTGAAAGGAGAAGGGAATGATTGAAGAAATTTTGGTAGTGAAATATGAGAAAATTGATTTCTTTTATGGATATTTGTAGAGTTTTGGAGGAGTTTTACATTATGTTTGGATGAAGAAATATAAAGTTACTAAGGAATTTTAAAATGACAAAAATTAATATGACATGATTTTATTTTCTTGAATTTGTAAATTTTTTTGTTTGGTTAACCTAGGCTGTATAAAAGAAAAAAGTTTCAAAAACGACTGCTGGAATGGAACAGTTAAGAAATCTGGGCTGCACAACAAAGTTTGTCATTGGAAAGGCCTATAGGGTTTAGGAACGCGCCTCTTTGTATCATGACTCAAGAGGCACGCCAGTTGATGGATGACAATGACTAACGCATTTGGGCCATTAAAAATGGGATTGTTGTGAGCTTGACCGCAAAGACTCTCTCAAGTCAATGGAACTGACGCTCATGTCCACTTTTTTGGATTTCACGTGATGCTCCACCCCTAAATTCTTATTTTCTCGCCCCCAAAATACATCCCTTGGAGATGATTTGGACCCAAATGCTGCTTTTTTTTTTCCCCACCCCTCTGTTGGAGACAATTTAACCATCCTTGGGAGGCTTGAGGACTGTTTCCCTTCCACATTTTTTACCGGAGTTATATTCTAAACTAGTATAATTTGCAAAACTTTGAACTCAAGTCCAAGAGGGCAAGCTGACTGCCTTGGCCAATTTGTCTAACCCCCCACACGTGCACATATTTGTTTTCATTCAAGAGTATGTTGTGTTGTTTCTTACCCAGAAAACAAAAAAGGGAAACTCACATTCAATTGTGGACATAAAACAGCATTATATTATCAAATGAATATCAGTGAAAAGATGATACTCAAAATCATATATACTAAACGTGAGTTTCCTCCGGCACTGTAGATCACCAGTGTCCGGACGGAAATGCCCTTGCTTTGTTTGGGGTTTTGGCGCTGCTGTCTGAGTTTTGTACACTGGAATGTCACTTTTGCCCACACTGGGTGGGCCGTTTTCAGCTGGCCGAATTGCCCTTGGGCTTTTTTATGGTTTATGGTAGTTTTTGGTGGTTCCTGCAGGGATAAGGTGGGAATTTATTTCACTTTCATACCTTAAATACTATTTTATTTCAAAATAATACATCGGTTACATTTTTCATCCATTGATCTGTTAAATGCTGATGTGGCTGCTACATATATGCCACATGGTTGCCAAATGTCTGCCATGTGGCAAATAAAATAATTTTTTAATTTTTTTTTAAAAACCTAAATTTTCTCAAAAAAAAAAAATGAAACCCACATCTGCAAGAAGATGAAGAAGAAGAGGGAGGAAGAAACAACAACAACAAAGCCTTTTCCCACTAAGTGGGGTCGGCTATATGAATCCTAGAACGCCATTGCGCTCGGTTTTGTGTCATGTCCTCCGTTAGATCCAAGTACTCAAGTCTTTTCTTAGGGTCTCTTCCAAAGTTTTCCTAGGTCTTCCTCTACCCCTTCGGCCCTGAACCTCTGTCCCGTAGTCACATTTTCGAACCGGAGCGTCAGTAGGCCTTCTTTGTACATGTCCAAACCACCGGAACCGATTTTCTCTCATATTTCCTTCAATTTTGGCTACTCCTACTTTACCTCGGATATCTTCATTCCCAATCTTATCATTTCTCGTGTGCCCATACATCCCACGAAGCATCCTCATCTCCGCTACACCCATTTTGTGTACGTGTTGATGCTTCACCGCCCAACATTCTGTGCCATACAACATCGTTGGCCTTATTGCCGTCCTATAAAATTTTCCCTTGAACTTCAGTGGCTTACGACGGTCACACAACACGCCGGATGCACTCTTACACTTCATCCATCCAGCTTGTATTCTATGGTTGAGATCTCCATCTAATTCTCCGTTCTCTTGCAAGATAGATCCTAGGTAGCGAAAACGGTCACTTTTTGTGATCTTCGCTAGATTGCTCCGGTCATTAGTGTGGATAAGTATATAGATGGATAGAGATAGGAAAGCAAACACAAGATGTACGTGGTTCACCCAGATTGGCTACGTCCACGGAATAGAGGAGTTCTCATTAATTGTGAAGGGTTTACACAAGTACATAGGTTCAAGCTCTCCTTTAGTGAGTACAAGTGAATGATTTAGTACAAATGACATTAGGAAATATTGTGGGAGAATGATCTCGTAACCACGAAACTTCTAAGTACCGAAGTGTGGTATCGTCTTGACTTGCCTTATCTGTCTCATATGTAGATGTGGCATCTTCTCTGGAAGTACTCTTCCTCCATCCAGGGGTGGTATCTGTAACTGGTGGAGATGCACAAGGTAATGTATCAATTTCACTTGAAGCTTACTTGTACTTTCAGGCTTGGTCAAGCGCGATACAAACCATGTAGTAGGAGTCCCCCAAGTCGCCGAGCTAGGGGATCTGCTGAAAGAGGTGACAGACAAGGTAAGCAATCAGAGCTCCGGCTGATTGTTCACATTCTCCCTATCTTGCAGGCAGCATGAAGGATAAAGAGAAGAAAAATGAGAAGAGATGATATGGGATACTTTTGCTTTTGAATAAGTAACTTTCCACAGGCTTATTCTTGAACTGGGCTGGAGGGTTTTCTGGTTTCCTCCAGAATATAAGGCCGACTGAAGAATTTGAGGGTCAAAACAAGTCCATCAAATCTAGAGTACGTTCGACCCTGCTGATATGGGATACTTTTGCTTTTGACAGAGTAGTGGATGTATCGGCACGTGTGCTGTTACGCTTGTCTCCACATGCTTCCTTGTATCCTTCTCACTTGCTCTATCTGTTCCTCAGGTAGATGCGGTATCTTCCCTGGAAGCATAAGATGTTGAAGATGAGTACTCGAGAGCAATGCCAGGTAAGTAATCAGGTAATGGGTTCCAGGCAGTCAGTTCCTTACAGTCATTTCCTGGAAGAAAGAAAAAGAAAAAAAAATTGTCCCTCCCCCACCCCCTAGCGACCCAGAAGAAGAAGAAGAGGGAGGATGAAAAGAAAAAAAATAAAAAATTTGTCCAACCCGCTCCCACTCCCCCCCCCCCCGCCCCCGCACCCGTGAGCCAGAAGAAGAAGAGGGAGGAAAGGAGCTGGGTCGGGGTAAGGGGAGGGTAGCCGGGCGCCCCGGGAGGGGAGAGGGACAATTTTTTTATTATTTTTTCTTTCTCCCTTCCTCTTCTTCTTCTTCTTGCAGATGTGGGTTTCAAATTTTTTTTTTTTTTTGAAAAAATTCAGGTTTAAAAAAAAAAATTTAAAAATTATTTTAGTTGCCACGTGACAGACATTTGGACCACGTAGCATATATATGGCAGCCATGTTAACATTTAATGGATCAATGGATGAAAAATGTAACAGATGTATTATTTTAAAATAAAATAATACTTAAGGTATGAAAGTGAAATGTTTTAAAGATGTTGTAATGAATTGAAATAGATCTCAAACATTAGGTATGAAAGTATAATTTACCCCTTCTTTTTTCTTTTGTTCTCCACCGTGTGCTTCCGTTTGGCACGCTTTTGTGTTTTCGTCTTCTCAGCCGTCATTTTCTCGCTTCGCAGCTGCTTGCTTCGTTCGACAACTCTGTGGTGCGTGATTTTCTTTGGATTTTTATCTTCATTTGTAGATTTTTGTGTTAGCTTTCAAAACGGGTATTTTTTTGTTCTGTTTGGAAAGATCTGGACCTTATCATTGGACAACTCAGTGGTGCGTGATTTTCTTTGGATTTTTATCTTCATTTGTAGATTTTTGTGTTAGTTTTGCAAAACGGGTATTTTTTTTTGGTTGTGTTTGGAAAGATCTGGACTTTAGCATTTTAAACTCTGGCAGGGGTCGCCGTCTGTGGGGAGAAAGGTCTCTATTTCAGTTTTTGAACCATAGGAGAAAATCCAAAATTTAGACACAGGTTTGTCAAAAATTGAGAAATCAAAGAGGCTTTCGGGGGTTTTTAGATCGTATTTCTTAATCACCGTGTCATTTACTCTTAATTGCCAACATCAGCCATGGCTGCTTGCCAGAGGTTTTCAGAAAGTTAGAGAGAGAGAGAGAGTTTGGGTTATTCTGTTATGGGGTCACGGGAAGATGAGGGTCTAAAGTGGGAAGAGAGAGAAACCATTGTTGTGTTTTTGTGTTTGATTTTGCCACCGGCAGGTTGTCTTTCAAGACAACTATTAAATAGGTCATGAAGAAGTTGGATTAGTATAGTAAATGAACAAACATAATGAATTTAATTATTAGTATAAACATATTGTTTATAACCCTTTTGCGAGCTGTCTGTTTTCGATGCTCATCTGCATCTTCACAGTGGTAGTTATAGTTTCCCACCTGCAGTCATTTTGGATTAGCGTTCAACCACGCAGTGGTAAGACCTCTTTTCTTGATGTGCCTCTTTTTTCATTTATTCTTCTTCTTTTTCAGTTTTTAATTTACAGATAAATTTTACGTTTAAGCACTCATTTTGGCATCCTGCAGATTTTATCTTCGTAATCAGATGCTAAATATTGCTCTCTGGTTTTGTTCTTCTTCACTTTCAAGAACCACAGCTGTTTATTGAACGTATATAATCCGTTCGGCTATTTAGTTTTCAATGTATCAAATATTTTGCGTTGTTAATTTTCTGTTACTTTCGTTGCCCAAATCATCCAATCCACATTTACTAATGAAACAATTGATTGTTGACAATTTGACCCAAGCACTTCTACAAAATACCTATGCATAGACCACTACTGTAATCCGTTCTCAGTGTATACAATTTTTGTTTTTCCTTATGAGCCTTTTGTTCTGGCGTTCGGTCTGCAGATACAACTTTTGCCTGTTTTGTTTATGTGTTGAGATGCCCAATTTTCCAACGTACTATTGAAAAATGACTTCTCATACTCCCATGACAAATATTCTGGTATTGCATATTGGATTCGTTTTGGTTTTCAGAAAACAGACAGGTAATTCTTTGTTTCTGCAGGTGAAGATAATAGACACAAACAGAGTATTCCTACACATCGGAATAATGCGTCAACTCCAAACTAGCAACCAACAGACTATCCCTAACACTCACAAAGTCACACAAGCCACCACCAGGAAAGCACCCTCCAAACCTCTACATCAGCATCCAAGTAAATCCCACTCCTGCTCTGCTTCATAAGTTCATTGTTATTTTCTGTAATATATTCTGATTTCTAGGAACTGTAAATTCGCATTTGGAAATGAATTTTCTGTGCAAATTTGGATATTTCGATGTTGGTTAAAATTAGGGGAATGACTCCGATTTTGTTACTCAATTAATTTACTTTTTTGTGTATCTCAACCTTCTAATTGATTTCCTGCATCATTGCTTAGTTTTACTCACTACTCACTGAAACTTGAGTGAATTTTTTTACCTTATGACCCCATATGTGATTATCAAGTCCATGATTGTCTTTTGATCGGTTTTCCTTTGAAGTGAATGCCAAACTGCAGAAGTTTTCAGCCCTTTTTGCAGCTATGTTGTTTTTAGATTCAACCCAAAAAAATCTGTCCAAGAGGCGAGTAAATTTATTTGATGGACCTGTTTGATTTGTAAAAATTATGGGAGAGAATAGGTAATTGCATCTAGACAGGTGGTTTGGTGTTTAGAAGGCTTTGAAAGCTAATTTACAAGACTTGGAATGCTAATCATGAATTTTACGTTATCGATCACAGATGCAGTATATTCTTGCATATTTGTTTATTTTAGTTAGTATATGCAGATTTAAAGAAGGAACATTATATCACTATTTATTCAGCTGTTACATTTCCAGTCGTATTGATGCCTGCAAAACAATGTTTACTTTTCTAGGCAATCTATTACAATTTCTTTCCTGCTACATTAAAATAGAAATGTAAAGAATAAAGCCAATTTAAAAACCTAATATGTATTTATGTGCTTAATTCTTCCCTAAGATTTTTCGTTATGTGAACAAAATAGATGCATGCTCTGCCCATTATGCGAAAAAACGGTATACAACAATGTAACACCGCAGCAACGCGTGGGCAGGATAGCTAGTTTGCACTAAAAATGGACCAAAATTTGTTATTCCGTCGGGCCCATCTTTTTCCCCTTAAGCTCTTTCCCAGATATTCATGGACCATAAAGACCGAGACGCAAGGAAACCTTGTTGTAGTCGATCATGGAAGTAGTTCTGGTACAAGTCCCAGAATTCATCTCTGCCAAATAAAATCAATGCGAGGCATGTGGAGTGTATAAAGTTAAAAGATTTTCTATTCAAAATAGAGCACAAAGACGAGAAATCGAAAAGAACATATCAAGATTCTTCTCTCTGATTTTTGAACCATCACTGCCCACTCTGGCCAGGGAACTTGGAGAAAAGGAAAATGTGAGGGTGAAGATTTTTCAAAGACTATCATTAGTTCGGTATTATGGATTTCAGATGAATTTATGTTTGCAAAAGAATTTCCTGAGAAATAATGTATAAACCTTAAGGAAGGTTTGCCGCTCCACCCCGTCATATGAATCCCAGGGGAGACGAACCATGAGGCGTAAATAAAGCAGACATTCGACCTAAACTTTCTCAACTTTTCCCCTTTACCAAAAAGACCCACAATGAACGTGGTGAAAGTTTACAGTGACTATAACTCGGATGCATAAAATCATACGGGGGGATGAAATAGAACGTAATATATATCCTCAAAAACAAAGCTGATAGGCTAACAGAGAGATGAAATAGACCTGGTTACAGTCCTAAAATAACAGGAATAGAAATTGTCAAAAAAATAAATTGGTAATGTAACATTATGTTACAGGTTTCTACCAAAAGGACCCCCAATGAACCTGGTGAAAGTTTACAGTGACTATAACTCGGATGCATAAAATCATACGGGGGATGAAATAGAACGTAATATATATCCTCAAAAACAAAGCTGATAGGCTAACAGAGAGATGAAATAGACCTGGTTACAGTCCTAAAATAACAGGAATAGAAATTGTCAAAAAAATAAATTGGTAATGTAACATTATGTTACAGGTTTCTACCAAAAGGACCCCCAATGAACCTGGTGAAAGTTTACAGTGACTATAACTCGGATGCATAAAATCATACGGGGGATGAAATAGAACGTAATATATATCCTCAAAAAACAAAGCTGATAGGCTAACAGAGAGATGAAATAGACCTGGTTACAGTCCTAAAATAACAGGAATAGAAATTGTCAAAAAAATAAATTGGTAATGTAACATTATGTTACAGGTTTCTACCAAAAGGACCCCCAATGAACCTGGTGAAAGTTTACAGTGACTATAACTCGGATGCATAAAATCATACGGGGGATGAAATAGAACGTAATATATATCCTCAAAAACAAAGCTGATAGGCTAACAGAGAGATGAAATAGACCTGGTTACAGTCCTAAAATAACAGGAATAGAAATTGTCAAAAAAATAAATTGGTAATGTAACATTATGTTACAGGTTTCTACCAAAAGGACCCCCAATGAACCTGGTGAAAGTTTACAGTGACTATAACTCGGATGCATAAAATCATACGGGGGATGAAATAGAACGTAATATATATCCTCAAAAACAAAGCTGATAGGCTAACAGAGAGATGAAATAGACCTGGTTACAGTCCTAAAATAACAGGAATAGAAATTGTCAAAAAAAATAAATTGGTAATGTAACATTATGTTACAGGTTTCTACCAAAAGGACCCCCAATGAACCTGGTGAAAGTTTACAGTGACTATAACTCGGATGCATAAAATCATACGGGGGGATGAAATAGAACGTAATATATATATCCTCAAAAACAAAGCTGATAGGCTAACAGAGAGATGAAATAGACCTGGTTACAGTCCTAAAATAACAGGAATAGAAATTGTCAAAAAAATAAATTGGTAATGTAACATTATGTTACAGGTTTCTACCAAAAGGACCCCCAATGAACCTGGTGAAAGTTTACAGTGACTATAACTCGGATGCATAAAATCATACGGGGGATGAAATAGAACGTAATATATATCCTCAAAAACAAAGCTGATAGGCTAACAGAGAGATGAAATAGACCTGGTTACAGTCCTAAAATAACAGGAATAGAAATTGTCAAAAAAATAAATTGGTAATGTAACATTATGTTACAGGTTTCTACCAAAAGGACCCCCAATGAACCTGGTGAAAGTTTACAGTGACTATAACTCGGATGCCGCACAGTCCACGGGTTTCAATCCCATCTCTCATTATATTTTTTAAGTTTTAAATTTGTAGACCATCTAACACAGACACTAAAAATTGAAGGGGAAGGGCAATAGATTTCCCAGACTCCCATGTCAAGTAACAATTCTTGATACCATATACGACATGGGTACGCTCAACATATTGAACTGTAACCAAACAGATGCTAGTAAGCCTAGCAAATAGTAGAACATGCAGAAACAACTGTGGGGTAACAAATAGTAATAAATGCGCCATTAACTAGGGAATTTTAAAGATTCCGAGAAACTACCTGTTCTTCAACCTTCATATGCTTAGAGAACAGCTTTGCTGCACGACATTCATTAGTCAACAACCGGAAGCCCCTATAGGAACAGAATAAAGGTTCAGTGATATGCATGTAACAAAGGGGTCAAAGTCTCTGGTGCTACTGAGACATTTTTTATGAAATTCAAACTTAAGTTTGGCATTATCAAATTTGCAAATGGTTCATGTTATGGTACAATAAGAAAGGAAACTAACGTATTTAACCTTAGAAGTTCTAATGCTCTCAACGCAGATGTACTAATAATAAGAATTGCTGGACTCCCTGGATCAATTTTTCCATCCACGAGATCCTTTTCACAAACTTCTTGTTTCCATGATGGACCAAAAGCTTCCTTCACATGTTTCCCCCAGATGCTGACATCTTGATCCAAGCTTTCAGACTGATCCAGAAAACACTTATCTGCAAAAGTAGACGAATAAATTTCAGTTCGTTCCTCAGACGGCGGCATTTTCACATTGTGCACAAGTAATTCATTAACTCCACATATAAAAAAATAAATAAAGCTGAACATAAATTCAACATCAATACTGAACTAGTTTGACTGAATTTCGAAACATAGCTTCAACCAATCACACTAAGGCAATCTCCAACTGATCCGGCCAGAGGGTTATAGGGTCAAAAATAATCTTAAATGACAACAAAACCGTCTCCAACCGAGGGCTAGGCCAAAGGGCTCGTGGGCCCCACCAGGCCAAAAGCACCAAATCAGGCCAACCCACTGGCCCAAATGAGCCAGCCAGCTAGCCCCGGGCCAACCCAAATTTCAAATGCCAACGGCTACTTATGTCAACATGATGCCAGTAGCCGTTGGATTTGAAGTTTTTTTATTTTTTGGGACAAAATTTGAAAAAAATGATAAATTTTTAAATTTAAGTTGTAGTATTTAAATTGAAATAATAAATTATGTTTGAGCTATGGTCCTTTGGCCCTCTCGATTGGAGATAATTTTTTGTCACAATGCTATGTTTGACCTATGACTCTTTGCTCCCTTGGTTGAAGATGGTATGAAATATAGCATGACAATGTTCATTAAAATATAATTTTTTGGAGGGCTGTAGGACTAAAGGGAGCTCTGGCCCTCCTTCGGTTGGAGATTGCTTAATATGTTGAAGTTCTGTCTTAGCCTTGAATTTTGTCATAGTTGAATCTTAATACCTCACAAAAACTATATCCTGTCCTCTGCTTGCTATTTTTAGTTGGAAAAATTCCCAGAAAAGTGAGTATTTACAATGTTTCATCTCAAAAAAATAGATTAAAAAAAAAAGAGAAAATAAACTAAGACAAATTAATAAACTAAAAGGTACCATTGAAGGACTCCAACTCGAGGTAAGAAAGCTAACGCCGTTGGCAGACTGAAACTTGTCCAGAAAGAATCTGAGCTGCGCCGACACTGACGCCGGTTGTACCTCACCGTCTCTTAAACCGTCGCTGTTTTGGTTGCTTTGATTGCTCGCTTTCTCGTCAATTGGGTTTTCATTGCTGCCGCCATTGCTGAGCCGTTGCTTCTTCTCCTTCTTCCTCTTCTTTGTCTTAGGGCCAAGCGGATTGCCCTTGTTGTTTCTGTGAGACAGCTTCGATGGCTTCTTCGCCTTCCCGCTCCCCATTTTTGCAGCTGCTGGTTGATTACTGCTAAAACCCTAAAAAGTTGAAAACTTGGAACTTTCTTAACAGTTATTAGCCATTATGCCCTCGATTTATTTCGACAATTCAATGTTTGCCCATTCACCTTTTTTTTACATTTTTTTTTTCTAAACAAACAATATTATTTACCTAATTCAAATTTGACTTTGCGGAAAATCAAACTTAAGACATTTCATTTACAAGTGGAGAAGAATACAAGTAACCCATTCACTTTTAAGTCAATGAAAAGAGTGAATTGAAAATTGTGAGTTTTAATAACAAGGGCTTGGGATAAGTTTATTTTAACAAAAAAATCATCATATAATTTTATTTAATGAAAATGACAAACTTTAATGAACATGAGTGAAATTTTAATGAAAATAACAAAGGTTTAATATAATAAAATAGAAAAAAGCAATAAAAATCTGACGCATGTGATCCCGCATGTCTATCACACACTATTTCTGAAATTGAACGGCATTACACTATTTCTCAAACTTAACGGTACTACATAATTTCTGAAACTGAACACTAGTTATTTATGAAACTAAACATAAGTACTACACTATTTCCGAAATTGAACACGATACTACACTATTTCTAGAATTAAACACTATTTCTCATTTGTTTTGAGACATAACAACTACCGGCAAGTAGAAATCCGCCATTTTCATTTATTTTTTTTGACATAAAGGTAAAGATAATATTACCAACACACCGTAATTACAGAGAAAGAGGTTCGATCACAATAAAAACACAAAATAGATGTAGACCCCTAACCGAAACCCAAAACAAAAGTTTTGGGCCAGAAACATATAAACCAAACAAAAAAAACAAAAACAAAAAACCCTACATTCCTGCAAGAACCGCCGCCGCCAAAGTACCGTCGAGATTTTGCCGCAGACCTCCAACTAGATGCCATAGGTCCAACCAACCAAATCCGCAAAATTGAAGGAAAAGACGACTCCAACAACTTCCATCGAGCATCACAAAGATTGGAACGACAACCACAAACCGAAGGAAGCTAGTGAGAGATAACCCACCAGCAACAAAGCCATTGAAGGCAACCAAGCCACTAAAGACAAATCCACGGGAGGTGGTGGTGTGAACACACGAGCCAGAGCTCTATGCATTTCCCGAAAAAATGGCGTCAAAATGCGTTCCTACATCTGTTTCTTTTGAAATTATAATCCTTGCAAATAATATATGTGGATGCAAATTTCTTCCTCCTTGATCTTGGACAATTTTGCACCTACAAAACAATTAACACCTTAGGTTAAGGCCAAGAGCCTCACGCGCCCACGATGAATGGGGGGGGCTTTGGCCGGAGAACCTTCGATGCCAAAGTTAGAATTTAGAGAGAAAGAGTGTTTAGAGAATTTTGGGATTTTTGCCAAAGTGTTGGACTTGCTTTTTGGTGGAAATGGGAGCCTATATATAGGGATAGGAGGTGGCCGGCCTAGCTAGGGGTTTTGGGTTAAATTTAGGTTTAATTAGGGTAATTAAAAAGAGAAAATATGGTAGAAAAGGTAGAAAACATGGAGGATGGCCGGCCATGTGGTGTTTTATGGGTCACCATGTGGTGTTTTATGGGTCAAAGGGATCACTTAATTGACAATTTAAGGGATTAAATAGGCAATTAACCCCTTAATTGGCCATTTATCATGATTTTTAGAAGGAAGGTTTTAGAAGTTATGGAAAGAATAAAATAAATAGCTAATTGATTAGCTAAAAGAGGGAAAAAGAGGTAAGAAATATATGGAATGAAATAGGTTTTAAATTGATACCTATTTTGGGCACTTTTGACTTGGTTTAGGGATGATTGCCCGCTGCTCGCGCGTAGGAATCCCAGTATGCCTTAAGGGTAATTTTGTCCTCTTTTACCCAAGAATTCACGTGTCGCCTTGTGATTATTTTTGGCTCCACAAATGCCCCCACACCTGTTGGGCTGCTCGCAAGAAATGGCAGCAGGTGTAGAGATCTTCTTGCTTTAGGAAACTTAAGACTGCTTCCTATTTTGATGTTGATTCTCTCTTTAATAGGAAATTAGATCCTTCTAGGAAAGGGAAATAAATTTCTCTCAAAGCCTATTTAAGTCCACCTTAAGTGGGTTATTAAATCAACTTTGGAGAGAGATTTATTCTACCTTACAAGAGAGAGATAGCTTAGAGGATATTTGTTCCCCCTCCTCTAGCAATCTTCTACATCTTGCCTGTGCAAAGGACCGTCTTTCATTGCTTTCTTCATCTTCTTCGTGCCGCACCAATGTAAGAAAAAATTAATTTTCCTTGTCTTGTTCTTGGATGGTGCTACCGTGGAGCAGCCGTCAGGGTGGTGCAGCATGTCGGCTGGCATGGGCCAGGAGTCGTCTCGGCATGGGTCGATGAGGTATTGTGGCAGGGACCACTGCTTTAAGTTGCTCGACTTGGCTAGAACTAAGGGCAGCTTGTATGGCTGGGGCCACGGATTGTGGCGCTGTGCTAGGCGAGTCACATGGCTCATGTCCTTTTAGGCTTTTGGACATGACGCGAGCTAGGCATGTGATTGAGAGAAATGAAGAGGTTGCGAGCCTCATGAGCTGTTGGAATGTTGGGTTGAACTCCTCTGCTGGGTACCACGAATGACGTTGGCTACTTTAACTCTCTTCGTCAGGAGAAACGTGGGCTGCTCCCAAAAGAAGAGGTGAATAGGATCAAGGCGGATGCATTGGCTCGTCCAATCACTGTTGTGGATCCTACTGTAAGTGAATGTGGGAAAAGGGATCTTCCTTGCCTGCTTAAGAGATGTCGGTTGAGAAAAAATGAAAGACTTCTTTCGCTGCTCGCGCGGGCTCGCTGACTGCCTCCAGGCTTGTGATTGACTTGACTTTTTCCAAGGGGACGAAAAATGAGGCTGCTAGATCTGAGCATGTGGCGTCTGCCATGTTAAGAATGGCTAGTATGATTGCTGATAGGATTGTTCGGCATAAAGGTCCTGTCATGCCCCTAGTGCTTAATTTTGTACCAAGACGTTTGTTGGGAGCTAAGTCCGGTTCACCTTTGGAGAGGCTTGCTATTATGAAAAGCGATAAGGTGGACTCTGCTGCTGAAGTGGCGCTAAGGCCCATTCCTTATGCTGCTGAGACTAATTCGCCTGCTGGGAATGAGAAGACTGCTCGCGTAGGCAGCTGTGAGAAATCCACTAAGCCTGTTTCTGGGGAGGCTGCTGAGATTTATGTGCTTTTGAAACCAGATCTTTTGAAAACATGGACATTTGTGCCAAGTTTGTTGATGGCATCAGAAAGGTTGTTTGCCCAAGCTCGTTTACGAAGCATACGACCCAATATAGAAGGACTGCTCTGCTTGCCATGATGCAGATATAGCAAGGCTGCTAAGGAGACGGCAAATACTATGGCAGATTCTGAGCTCATTGCTTTGAAGGGGTCTAATATTTTTGCCCCTACTTCTTTGCAGCTTGAGACCGCTCGCCAAAAGATCGTTAACTTGAAGACTAGGCTTGACGCGATCCAAGTTAAGCATGAAAGTGTAGAGAAGGAGATTGGATGTTACATACCTCAGATTCAAGATCTTGAGTATGCAGTTTTTTAGCTTCGTTTCGCTGCTTATGCAAAGGATGAAAAGTTGATTGCTGCTTATAATCAAGTGATCCACTTCAAGAGAATCATCGATAAGCTTGAACCCCAAGTGTTGGAACTTCAAGGTGTACTGAAGATCAACAAAAGTCTGAATAAGGAAGTGGATGAGCTGCAGAGCATCCATGTTGGTCTGCTCGAGGAGGATGAGCAGCTGAAAGGTGAAAAGGTTGGGCTCGGGGTTTCAAGACCTTCTCTATATCTTCGGAAGACTTGCTTGATTTTACTTTTGAGGCTTCTATTGGTGAAGTAGTTGGAGAAGTTAGTGCCCAGGCTGGGGCAGCCGAGGGTGAAGCGCCGGATGATACCGCTGCTAAGAGCGTCGCAGCTGCTGAAGGTATGGCGACCGAGTAGTCGTGAGATGTCCAAGCTGCTATAGCCTTCTAGGTAGCCTTTAAGATTTTATTTGTTTTTTCTTGTAGCTCTCGTTTTGCTTGAACTCCTTCGGCCTTTGCTAGTTGTTTATAAACATGTTTTCCTTCACATTTCTTCATCTTCGCTTCTTTTGTTCATGCCCTAACCTTTAGACTTGATATACCAGTGGCAGGCATGCTACTTTTTATAAGCAGACAAGCCCGCATAGCCTATGCAGTCGTAGCTGTTGGTGTAGAACTTTGCAAAGTTGTTAGCCATAGGGTTGGCAGCCGGATACCTTACTTACAGAAGCAGACAAGTCCGCATAACCACTAGGCTGTTAACTTGACTTTCTTCAATTCCGTAGGTTGTGTAGTAAGTATCACAACACTTTAGAACTTGGTGTAGGTTGTTCCGCACTTGGTAGAGGTGAAGCTTATTGACTACGTAGCATGTCGGCAGTGGATAAAACTTTGTATATGCACGCCAGCTTGTTTAACCTTTCACAAGAATGTGTGGTTGTATAAGTCTAGAGTGCTTTACTGCTAAAAAGGCAAGCCATAGGCAGTCTTCCGGAATCCGTAGGCTACCTTAGTGCACTCGGTAGTAGCTTTAGGATTCCAAGGCATGGTCTATAGGGCGTATTGCGTAATGTGCCCCCTCCGTCTCTAGGGCCCAGTTCCCCGCGGATTAGGCCGAGAGACCCAAAATCCTTTAGTTAGCTAAGCCTTGAAAAAGACCATTGTGGCTAATTCTAGGAATCCTGGCGCAAGCCATCATGCATCTAGTTATACTAGGGTAGCCAGGCTCATCCACGTCTGGATATTCGGAGTGTAAAGTTTATCCTCTCGTCTTGGAGAGCTGACCCATATGGGTGTAGGGAAATTGGTTTACCCTCTCGCACTGGAGAGCAATTAGTTTACCCTCTCGCACTGGAGAGCATGGTTGGTCTCTCGAGGGGCGCAATTCCTGCTATGGGTCCCTAAGAAGGACGCTGTCTTCTTTTGAAGTGTCGGAGTGATCAGTTGTTGTAAGCATGCAGTCGAGCCA